CAAGGAGATATAAATGGAACAGTCCCTTTAACCTGGTTGGATTATGTCCTGAAGCAAGGAGATATAAATGGAACAGTCCCTTTAACCTGGCTGGATTATTTCCTGAAGCAAGGAGATATAAATGGAACAGTCCCTTTAACCTGGCTGAATTATGTCCTGAAGCAAGGAGATATAAATGGAACAGTCCCTTTAACCTGGCTGAATTATGTCCTGAAGCAAGGAGATATAAATGAAACAGTCCCTTTAACCTGGCTGGATTATGTCCTGAAACAAGGAGATATAAATGGAACAGTCCCTTTAACCTGGCTGGATTATGTCCTGAAGCAAGGAGATATAAATGGAACAGTCCCTTTAACCTGGCTGGATTATATCCTGAAGCAAGGAGATATAAATGGAACTCAACGTGAAATCTATTTAATGATTTCTTCTCCTTTAACGATCCATTGTTTACAATTCGTTTAGTTCTTAATATTAATCATGAATAGAAATTCGAGGTCGGTTTCGCCACTTCTAACATTTTTCGTCAATTTGCAAAATCACAAAAAAGGTTTGTAAGCACTTTAATTAGGGATAGTTGACTTTTTTGGAAATATAAATAATACGGAAATTTCCTGTATTTTCATTTTTATTATGTCATGAACTATCTATTGTCCAAAATGATTACACAAGATGTTAATTATTAAGTAAAGTAACTAAAAATTAACGGTTCAATTCTTTTTAACAAAATCATAATTTTAAATTTTAAATTAATTGTGATGAATCCCTTTAAGATCCAAACACCAAGACAACTCTATCGAGATATATTTCCAAGACCAAGAATAATATAATGTCAAGAAAATATAGTTTATCGGCTGTTCTCTATTTGATTTAAACCGTATACAGTAGCTGGACAATTTGCAAACATTTTGTATAAGATTAAATTTTACCTTAAAGAAAATGATGTATTAAAAGGAAGTTTAAAACACTAATAAAATCAGACAAGAATTAAAAACAGGTTATAATAATTTTTCACTTGACGTCTTTATTTAGAAGTATACGAAAATATTCTTTTTTCAAAATGACCAGTATTTGACGTAAAAAAGTTTCTAAGAGAGGTTGAGTGTGAAAATATACTAGCTGGGAACACAGCTTTTCCTCGAGTTTTTTCTTTAAAAGTCAACCTAATTAAGAATTTTAAAACCAAGCTACTAATATTCCTGTGGTTCTACCGAGTTCTCTAATCAAAATTAGAGGCAAATCGGTCAAGGGTCGGGGTTCATGAGTTATGATCAGACATTCAAACAAACAGACACACAGACAGACAAACTGAGACTTCTACTTTATATATATACTAGCTTGGGAACCCAGCGTTGACCAGGGTACTAACAGTTACTCCCGCAGTTTACACGCACTTCGTCGTAAATTACGATTTTACCTATTTTTCCCGATAAACTTAGAATCTTAAAACCAAGGTGAGAACATTCCCGTGGATCTCCCGAGTTCCTCAATAAAAAGTTTTATCGGTCCAGGGGTTCCTGAGTTATAATCGGACAAAAGAACAGACAGACAAACAGAGATTACAACTTTATAGATATATCTTTAAATATAGATATATTTGGATAAAAGTAGATTCTCTATCAGCTACTCAACCATGAAAAGCTAAACCACTCAGCCCTAATCTAAACTAAACCAAACCTATAAAACAATAAACACTGAAGAAAATTCATCCAAGTATTTCATTAATGCACAGTGCAGACTGCAGGGGTTTATATTTTGTATAAAACTATTACCTTTCCCCTATCTTAAATTTTAGTTTTTTCTACTTTAATTTGTGAAAGGTTTTTGTTGTTGAATTGGAAAAACGTTAGAGGAGAAAAACATAAGTTTTTTAAGTAAAAGAATCAAAAAGATGGGGGGGGGGAATTGCTGGGGAAAGTATAATGTTTCCTATATCTCAATAAATCTTTGAAAATGAATCCTAAAAACATATTTTCTGGTGGCATTTTTGATGAAAAATTATAACTCTCTAAAAATAATATTTGAGAGAACATAAATTGCAAATTCTGAACGAACTTGTAAATTTACAAACAATGAGTTTTATTATTATCATAATTTAGAACAACTACAAACTTCAGTAAACACCCGATTTAAAAATTAGATATCAAAATGTTTTAAATTTACAAAAATGTAATCATGTGAATCTTCTAGATGCAGGATTGCATTAGATTGAATAGAACTAAATTAATGCAGTGTCAGCCCTTAAAGGAACTCTTGACGTAATTTCAAGAGACAACAGATATAAAAGTTGCATGCCTGGTGCCTTATAAACCTTTACCAGAGTAACAACGAGGAAGTGTTGAATTCTGACAATAAACTTCACTCTCTGCTGCAAAAATCCGCAACTCACTTTTATGGAGACACCATGCTTTTCTCAAACTAAGGTTGAAAGGGTACAGTTGTTAAAATGGAGGGTCAACTGAAATTACGTAGACAGTCCCTTTAGAACTTACACCAACTCTTACTCTGCCTTCGCAAAGCACTAGTGCATTTATCCCCTTTCCTATTTATGAATAATTTTTGCGCAAAATCTTTTTTTTAATACAAAATAAGTGATAAAAAACCGTAAAAGTAAAATTTCCAAAAAGCACAAACATTCTTTATTGGGAAAATAAGTATTGTTATAAGCTTTTTTTGTATTTTTTTTGTTACTCAAATATTTTCAGAAGGGTCGTTCCTGCTTTCTAAATAGTTGACGATTATAACAGTTGTATACACCAACCTACATTACCCTACTGATCCGAAACTTTTTGATCCCTAGAAAGCGAAGCAAGAAATGCGAACATAGAAAAGAAGAAAATATTTTAAACATTGAAAGGATCGAGATAGAATCTAAAGAAAGGGAGATAATTTTTTTTTGAATTGTTGAAATTTAATTTACAACAACCGGATGGTATGGAGCATCCAAACCTGAACACTTTAGAGGAAAAAAACTTTCTCAAAAAGATAAAGGCTTGCTGTTTCTGGAGGATACACTGTGCTTGCTGTTTCCGGGAGGATACACTGTGCTTACTGTTTCTGGAGGATACACCGTGCTTGCTGTTTCCGGGAGGATATACTGTGTTTGCTGTTTCTGGAGGATACACTGTGCTTGCTGTTTCTGAAGGATATAATGTGCTTGCTGTTTCTGGAGGATACACTGTGCTTGCTGTTTCTGGAGGATACACTGTGCTTGCTGTTTCTGGAGGATACACTGTGCTTGCTGTTTCTGGAGGATACACTGTGCTTTCTGTTTCTGGAGAATACACTGTGATTGCTGTTTCTGGAGGATACACCCTGCTTGCTGTTTCCGGGAGGATACACTGTGCTTACTGTTTCTGGAGGATACACTGGGCTTGCTGTTTCCGTGTGGATACACTGGGCTTGCTGTTTCCGGGAGGATACACTGTGCTTGCTGTTTCCGGGAGGATACACTGTGCTTGCTTTTTCTGGAGGATACACTGTGCTTGCTGTTTCATGGAGGATAGACTGTGCTTGCTGCTTCTGGAGGATACACTGTGCTTGCTGTTTCCGGGAGGATTAAGATGAAATAGGACGAATTTGACTTTTCAGGAAAAAATGTTTATATCATAAGGAATCATAAGGAAGTGAAATCTGCAAGAGACCCCATTGTGGGGCCCCCAGACCGCCCAGGCAGCAGGGTGCACTGCCCTGCCCCTGTTCTAACTAGACCTTTAAATCCCCATCATTTAATCCAAATCTAGAGAGATAAAGTAGATGCATTCCAGTCAGTTGGCTAACCAATTAAAACCATTGGTTGGTTGGTATCTGTCAACCCTTTAGGTGAAGAATAGAGGTTACCGTTGATTAAAGTGCTCCTGCCAAGTCCATCCACCTATCCAGCATCAGGCTAAGCTTATCCGCTCGTTTCAGAAGCACTTCTCTAGAGGCATTGTCACCCACTAAGATCCTAGTGAGGACTGTTAGCTGACCTCTCATAGGCTACTGCCTGACAAGATACGACAACATGATATTCCGAAAGGAGGCTAACTAACCCTTTATTAAGACAAAGTGGACACCACTTTGTTGTAGAGCCATGGATGTTTGTGCGGCGGTTGCCTAGCCCCGCATCTCCTGCTCTAAGTCTGTTCAGAAAACCCCCTGCTTTGCTATCACATACGTGTGGCTGAAGTTTGAACCAGACTTGGGGGTTGGCATGAAGTTTAGAGAAACAAACCGACTCTTTTGCCTCAAAACCCCTTGTACCGCTACTTCGGTGAGCCGATAATATAAGTTTTAAACATCAGTGTCCGAATCTAATGAATTTAAGCCGCGTCTCAAATCCCACAAAACCGGTTTCAGTTCAGCGCCGGCTTAAATCTTGACAAATTTAATTCAAATTAAGTGGAACCAACCTTAATTGAGCCACGGGTCAAATTCTTTAAATTCGGCTTCAGGATTCCAGTCCTTTTATGACTTTTCGATATTTTCAAAATTGTTTGAGTCGAGGCCAAAAATTTAAAAACGGTTTATTTTTGGACCTTGGCAAATTTGTCCATCTTTAACCCAGTTGATTACCTCCCGACTTCCAGTTTTTTGCCTTTGACTTTATTAATTTCTATCACAGGAACTGCCGCTTTAACTGGAAACAAGTTTCATCAACCTTCTCAATTTAAACTTTTAAACCAAGCTTAGAAAATTACCGTAGTTCCACAACCAAATCGGTCCAAGTGTTCTTGAGTTATGATCAGACATACAAACAAACAAACAGAGATTACTACTTTATATTTATAGATTAACAGATTTTTACGATCACGTTTTTGAATTATTGGTGTAAGACGAATCTTTTGATAATTACAAGTCTTATTTCATCCAATAATAATTTTGCTTGCATAATGCCTTTTCAGGGTGGAGTGGAATTTCCCAAAAAGACCTACATTGATTTAAAGGTGGGTGGGGGGGAAGGGTGGAGGAGGGGGGTCACAGGAACATATATTCAGAAAACAAAAAATAATTTATCCTACCTTTCCGTGGGAGTTCAGGGACTTCGGAGTCAAGATCGAAGTATTCAACATTATCCATTCTTATCACGTGATCACAACTTTTTAATCATACTTCTGCAATAACAACCTTTATAACAAAAGTTGGGTCTGTCCTAGAGAACGATTTATAGACCCCCCCCCCGCCNGAGGCCATGTTAAAGATATATTTGCAGTTGTGTGGACGTTTCAAAAGATCCATCACTGTGTGATCCAAGTATCATTTACTTTTATGTTACTTTACAGTGCATTTTTGAACCAAAAATAGATTTGAATAATAATTATCTCATATTCAGGTTGCTTAGTTAAATTCATTTAATGGCACACCGCACAATCATATTTATAATTTCCTATCGCTTTTTCCCCTTGTTTCATTAGCGCCTCAAAACAAACTTTGCCGCAGAATATTCCCAAGTGTTTAAACAGTCGTCTTTGTTTGTAGGTTGAATCTGAAGAATATTCATCGATGGTGTATTTTTCGACCTACGCAAAACCGCTATACTCCATTTCTGACCTACGCCAAATCCGCTATACTACACATCAGACCTACTAGCACGTGGTTTTACAGCTGCTATATGGACTTGTGGCCGCAGCGCCCGGCCAACTAGCAAGTCCTAGCCATAGCACTGGCCCCCTAGCCTGTCCTAGCCACAGCGCTCAGCCCAGAAATTGTCTTAACCTAACCTAACCCTCAAATAATACAAAAATAAACAGCTGACGTAGGTCCGATATTGCAGTAGGTCGGAAAGTTATTGTAGGTCGGAAGTTAATAAGGGCCGGGATTTTGCGTAGGCCACTCAATTCTTCAATATTTAAAACACTCATAACATTTTTACGCAATTTTAATGATAAGAAAGACAATTTAAATTCTTTCAAAAAGTTTATTTTTTCAATTTATTTTGGAAAATGCAATATGTGCCGTATCGGAAATTTAAGATATTTCACCAAAAAATTAGATTTAGAGTTTTAGGCAATTACGCAAATCCCGACTAGACCAGAGAGCGTTCTTTTCTTCTTAAAGAGCTACGTCTCGGCCCATTAAAAGAGCGCACCTCTTTCTTAAGCAAACCTCGTCTA